GGAGGAGTGGAAAGGCCAGGAAAGCCCGCTTCCCCCCTCTCGGTGACAGTGACAATGGAGCACGAAGGATTTGTATCCAGGAGGCGCTGAAGGGAAGCGCGCGCAGCGTCACCAAGAGACAATGGCGTGACGGTATCCGTTTCCATACGAAACCCTGCCCTAGACACCACTTGAACTAAGGGCAGCATCCACTCCCAGGCACTGATAGGTTGGGGGTCATCTTGCCCTAAACACCTCCCGAACTAAGAGCACTACCCATCCTATAAAACTACCGCCTTTAAATGCGGTTGGCAGAATAAACAAACATTCAGTCAATTTAATGTCAATGCATGTTTTCATGTCTCTGCTTTATTTATAATAACAAATCACCAAGTAGGCTAAGTCTCAATTTTGCTGTACAACAAAAAAAATCTTATACTTTCGTTTTTTGTATATGTTTCGAGGGGTCTCAGAAAACTCGAATATATTTATAGAAACTTTTCTACGCGTGTTTTATTAGATCAAAAAGTCGCTTTTAAAGACACAAAATTTCCACAGAAAACATCTACATCTTTTCATGTGAGCGCCAGAAGGGCAGCCGTGTGACGTTCTGATTGAGCTACTAAAACGACAGTGTGCGCGGTCTGCTCGATATGTCTATCGGGAGATGACACCACAAGCTACAATCATCGCTAAGCCGGTCGTCGGTCCATCGTTGTTCCTGGCACGTTTGTCGGTCTCATTTATCGCAAGAAAGGGGCAACGCCTTCAAATTTCCCTCGCTATAATGCACCACCTAGATGCACATTCGGTGAAGGTATGAGCTCTCTATGTGCAAGCGCCGAGTTTTCCGGCTAGTTTTACAGCACTAGGAGCCATTGTGGAGACCCTATTACACGCGTTCTAACCAATTTCCCCCTGCTCGTGCGACAGATAATGTAACCACTTTTAATAAAGTTATTGAAATAATTAACCACCACCTTTAGATCTTTACAGTATGAACTAAGAGTAGATCATACAAATAATAGGTCTGACTGAAGGCATTTTAACAACCCCTAACGTGCAACAGACGATGCATGTACAGGGTGCGGCCGTAAGAACCAAGACACTTGGCACGCCCCGCAAAATTCGTATTCCAAGCGCACACACCTAAAACTGGGCACACGCACGTAGTTTTGCGAGAAGTTTTATGCCCATTTTTTTTCAGAGCTCAAGTCAGAGGTGGCAAAATATTAAATATAGAACAATAACGGCGTCTGAGCATTTCCTGTGTCCTATACCGCACGTTTGCCGTCTGTACACTGGTTTGTGATCTTGCTCGCAGGTGGTCACTGTTCTTTTTTTTGTCGAATTGGAAGCGATGCATACGCGTCTTTTTCTTTCGCCATCCTTTTTCGGCCATTGTTTATATATTTTGTTAAAACTATTTATTATCGCTTTTATGCCGATAACCGCCAGCCTCTACTATTGAGTCTTAGCGTTTTTGCATTTTCCAAGCCATCCGGGAGCGAACTCATAAACCAGTGTGCACACGGTAAACAGGCTGGTATAGGACGTTGGAAATACATGGCTTCCGATTTTTCTTTATTTTTAACATTTCACTACCCCAATTGAAACTCTAAAGAAAAAACAAAAAAGAAAAAACTTTTTGGGGAACAACGTTCGGGTGCCCAATTTCAGGCATGTACGTACATTTGGAATTCGAATATTGCAGGTATGCCAAATGTGTTGGTTCACACCACCGGACCCTGTAAGGTTTTATAAATATTTGTCAGACAAATGGCCATCCCGCTTGAATCCAAACAGACCAAGGAAATGAGTTCGTCGTTGGATTAGTTCGGGCAGCGAGTCAGTTCACGCTTCCCACAGTTGTTCATATTGCCGCGCGCAGACTTGCAGAAGGTTCTCGTTTATTCTTGCTGCGAACATAAGTTCTATCGTTTATCCCTGCTTTTGTTGTTCTAGAAAGTGCGTGTTCATTCTCGCCCCGAGCGCGCTACGCTCGAACCTTCCCCGCCGAATCTTCGAGACAGTGACTCACTCTAGATAAGAGGCCGCCCGCGACCTTGTCGAGTCAGTCTCGCCTCTGCGCTCGATCCTGCGGTTTCGCCGACATCGACGCCCGCGACGCTCTGCTCGAGGGAAGCCTCCAGTTGCTTCTGGGAAGAGGGATCGGCGTCGCAAGAGGCATCGCGGAGCTCCAAGACGGGCGCACTGTTGCACTCGTAACAAACTTCCGACAGGAGGCTCAGCACCTTACGAAAGGCACCGCCGTGGGTCGCGCCGAGGAGCTCGTGGACTCAGCCACAATCGCCGGAATAGCAGAAGACATCTCTTCGGGGTCACACGAGACAACACCGCATTCGCAGTTTGACATCGATCCAGTCCTGCCTACCCCACAACGACGACAACTCAGTGACCTTCTCGCCGAGTTCAGTGGGTGCTTCTCCACGTCGTCAAAGGTGCGCCAAACGACGGTTGCGAAACATCGAATTATTACTGATGACGACGCACTTCCTGCTCATCGGTCATCGTATCGTGTCTCTGTGAAAGAGAGAGAAGTCATCCAGAAGCAGGTCCAAGAAATGCTCGACGGCGACATCGTCCAGCCCTCAAACAGTCCGTGGGCTTCACCGGTAGTCCTGGTGAAAAAGAAAGACGTCTCTTCGGTTCTGCGTGGACTATCGTCGACTAAACGCCGTAACAGAAAAGGACGTCTACCCGCTGCCACGCATCGACGACACCCTGGACCGGCTGCGCCACGCCCGATTATTTTCGTCGATGGACCTGAAGAGTGGGTACTGGCAGATCGAGGTCGACGAACGGGATCGTGAGAAGACTGCCTTCGTCACGCCGGACGGACTGTACGAGTTTAAGGTGATGCCGTTCGGACTGTGCACGGCGCCGGCGACGTTCCAGCGCGTAATGGACACCGTTCTTTCCGGCCTGAAATGGAAAAGCTGCCTCGTCTATCTCGACGACATCGTGGTGTTCGCAAGCGACTTCGACGAGCACCTGAGACGTTTGCGAGCCGTGCTACAGGCTATCCAGGATGCTGGACTGACGCTAAAGCCGTCAAAATGTCGGTTCGCTTACGGCGAGCTCAAATTTCTGGGTCATGTCGTGAGTGCTCAGGGTGTTAGCCCTGATCCTGCAAAGACATCCGCTGTTGCTAAATTTCCGAAGCCATCAGACAAGAAAGCCGTCAGAAGATTTCTTGGGCTGTGCGCTTACTACAGACGTTTCGTTCACGATTTTGCCAAGATTTCTGCACCGCTCACGCATCTGACGAAGGACGACGTGAACTTCCAGTGGGGGGAGGAGCAAGAACAAGCGTTCAACGAACTGAAGGAAAGACTCCAGTCACCCCCTATCCTCGGACACTTCGATCCATCAGCGGAAACGGAAGTTCATACTGACGCCAGCAACGACGGACTCGGCGCGGTACTCGTCCAGAGGCAAGACGGAGCAGAGAGGGTGATCGCTTACGCAAGCAGGGCACTGTCCAAGACAGAGAAAAATTACTCAACGACTGACAAGGAATGTCTCGCTGTCATCTGGGCGTTAACCAAGTTCCGCCCGTACCTGTACGGGGTCCCGTTCCGCGTTGTCACGGACCACCACGCTCTCTGTTGGCTCGCCAACCTCAAGGACCCGTCAGGACGCCTCGCTCGCTGGAGCCTTCGACTGCAAGAATACGACGTAACAATTGTGCATAAGTCTGCGCGCGGTATTATCACTATCACTGACTCGACAAGGTCGCGGGCGGCCTCTTATCTAGAGTGAGTCACTGTCTCGAAGATTCGGCGGGGAAGGTTCGAGCGTAGCGCGCTCGGGGCGAGAATGAACACACACTTTCTAGAACAACAAAAGCAGGGATAAACGATAGAACTTATGTTCGCAGCAAGAATAAACGAGAACCTTCTGCAAGTCTGCGCGCGGCAATATATTCATTTTTATCCTAAAGTGACAGATATTCAAGCTGCTTCAAACTGAAAAATCCCAATGGACACGGAAGAAATAATTTTATTTATTTATGTATTTTATTATTTATTGAGGCGTTTGTTTGTGTATTTATTGCTCTAATTATATTTCTTGCCCAGGGGCTATAATTGATATCGATATATCGATATCGATAATAGATATCGATATAACGTCGCAAAAGAGATGATTGTACGCCACGTGACCTTTATTAATTAAACACTAGAAACCGAAAAAAAACTTCTTTTTTTTTCAGTCACAAACTCCACTTTTTTTTTCTTTTTTTTTTGCTTTCTTTCGCAAGAAATTATTGGAGCCTTTCTTGACACTCCCAGCACTGCTGTTTGCTATCTGAACTGACGGGTTTTGGCATTCACCTTTTCAGTTTCAAGGAGCAAAACAAAAGGCGGTGTACGCAGGCGATAAACAATAATAGGCGGATAAGTGCAAAGCAAAGCCCGTTGAACCAGGGTTATCGTGGCTACCTTCGATCACTGAGGGTACGCCCGGGCAGCGGGTGAGTAGAAAGTCCAACTAGGAAAAAACAAACTGCGTCGAACGCGTAATCATGGATGGAAAGGGAATGCGTAAGCAAGCGACTTCGCAACACCCAAATGTCTGGCGTCGTTCCAAACGCTACCCCGTTCGCTATCTGCGTCACATACTTGTCAGACTCTGTTACGGTCGCACCAGCGATCCTTCTCCGTTAGTCCGAACCGGGAAACTAACCACGGGAAGGCAATCGATGCCAATAAACTAACGTCACTATTGTGACGATATAATCGTCTCGAGCGCCAGGAATGTTTTTTTGGAAACTCTTTGCAGTATACGTTTTGAGGTGCGCGTGAAAGATCAGGCGTGCGCACAAGTATGGAGACTCTTTTGTCCGGACGGGCCCTGCGTGACGGCGGTTTTGTCAGCCTCTTGGCGCTTACGGTGGCAAGCGTGGCAAGCGCGACGCTCGTGGTGTTCTTGTGGAGTCACGCTGCGGCTTGGTTGCGCGCCTGGAGGATGCTGTACAAACTGCCCGGGCCGCCGATCCTGATTCCAATGGCGTATGCGGTCGGCGCCCAAATATCCCTTGGCAACCTTTCAAAGTGCATGGATTACAATGCAGGTGAGCGTTATCGACCATGTTGATATCTTCCTTTGGCAGATAATATATGCAAAGCTTTTTTTTTTCTCTTTTTAATAGGAAAATAGCATTTAGATATTGAGTGCAATTACTTGCGTGGTGTTTCTGGCGGCATAGACGTGTAGGTATGGCCAACGTCATGAGGTCTCGAACCCGGCTCAAAAAGTCGGGCTCTACCACAAAAAACTAAACAAAAAATGCTTAACTCATTTGCTCGTATCTTTAGTTATTCCTTCAGATTATACATCGCAGCGCCTAAACGCCATTTCTGCGACAGAGATTCTAATCGTATATCTATGGTTACAAACATGAGCAAGCAAGGTATACACAGACTTGATTTACATGGGGGGGGGGGGGGGGGATGTCAGTACGATGTAGCCGGTCTGAGGCGTTCGCAACTGATAATGAACACGACCAGGTGCCGGTTCTTCAACCTGTAGGACAGCACAGACCCATATAAGAAGATAACGTAAGCGCACCGTGTAGCTTTCCAGCGTGAAGATATATTTATATTTTAAGGGTGTCAATAAGAAAAATAACTCAATAAAGCTTACTTAATTTCGTGTTTTTTTTTTGTTGTAAATTTGTATATTGAGGTTTAAACAAAAGGGGGCTACCGGGAGAGATATCTCAGCCTCCTCTGCGCGTCACTCCCTGGCGGGGCGAAAAGGAAATTTCAAGAAGATTAAAGAGGGTGGAGAATTTTAACTCTTTAAGGCCTTTGATGCCCAATACGTTGGTTGAAATACTGGAGACCTGTTAATTTTTTTATGGTTTTAAAGCCCACAGGATAACAGAAATCTGGTCTCACAAAAACAAAAACAAAGCTTTTTTGGTAAGCACGGTTTCTGAAATGTTGCTGTGAGCAACATTGGAAATTTGCGAGACTATAGTTTACGTCCAACGACTGAAACAGTTATGCACATTTCGAATTTTGCACATGAAGGTGCGACCGAATTTGCAATATTTGCGCTTATTTTCCTTCTTGCACTTTTGAGGCCAATGGTGGACGCCATCGTACTTCACATCCACCGTCGGCTTTGGGCTTAAAGAGAAGCTGAAGAAATTCGTGGAAAATATCGAGAAAGAAGTGAATTCTTCCGCACTTTTATCCCGTGAATTTGAATATCATAAGCATTTGACCCGAACGTATCCCTGCACGCGAGCAAACCGAAAAAATAACCACCGGGTACGTGTGACGTCATATCCAGAGGTTTCAACTGCCTTGCGCTTGTTGCTTTTGAGGGAACGTGCACAGCAGTATTGACTGCTCGTGTAAGGCTTCCGGAAGGCACGAGAATGTTGAAATAGCCGCATGACGTGACGATTTCCTCCTCTCACCGAACGCGCCGGAAAGGGGATGGGCCTTCAGCGCTATTTCAAAAGCGCTGTTGTGGCTACTTCCAACACATCAATTTGAAATATAATTTTGATACTCGTTTTCCTGGAGGTCAGATGAAGACGATTTAAGTGTTGTTTTTTTTTGTTTCGCAAATACAGCACCGCTTTATTTTATCTTTAGAGGACTAGTGATCTGTATTGAAGATACATTTCAATCCTTCACTGCTAAGCACAGGTATCCTGGCCCTTGCGATATACAGAGGGTTCTAATTGTCTTGAGGGGCACGCAGCGAGAGAAAAAAAGAAATAATCTCTAGTTGTTGTTATTGGTCAACGCCGGGCATGAAAGGCTAATGAGATGGGGTTCATCCTGGAAGCAGTGACGTCATATATCGTTTCACCGTAAGTCAAGAAGCAGCCGACGCCATATACTGATGCGACCAACCAAACAGCGTGAAAAAGAACAACGCCAAGGAATGTTTGCCAAGTGTCGTACGTGTTGTATCGTCGTCGAACCAATAGTGTACAGGAAAGACCCAGTGAGTCGCGCTTTTCACGCTGTTTGATTGGTTCCGTCAACTCGTAGCGTCGGCTGTATATGGGAATGCATTGTTATTTGGTCTTGCGTTCGTCTCAGCACGTTGCCTGGAGCGCGTCTTCAACAGGTGTCTTTAACGTCCTATGCAGCCTATACATCAAAAGTGGTGCCGATGTGGCAACAAACGGCGTCACAGAAGACGAAGTGTCAGGCTGTTGCATGTAGCGATCCTGGCGGTTGGTCGTAGAAATGCCAACGAGAAGGCTGCGAGTAGCACAACCGAACGAGAGTGTCACTGTCGTCACGGTGTCCCAACTTCTGGCCTCTGTGGAGTGCCACACTGGAGAGCAACCTGCAGCTGAATGAGCGTCTGCCGCACACCCCGCAGCTGTTGGGACGCCGCCAGGTTCGCGACTGGTGACGTCCAAACCCCCATGAAGGTGCCAGCGTTCATGTGCCGCCCGACAGAGGTGTGCTCCTAAACATAGAGTTATTATAATGTACGCTAGAGGTTCAACTGGCGCTAGTGTCTATGCGACTTCCGTGACGCAAATTGAAGCAGACAGCAACCAGTCCACTTTTGCCGTGCTCCTGTGCATTCCTATGGGAAAAAGCGCATGCATTTTGTCTCTTCGCCGGAAAATAACATGGAACACTTTGGTTATTGCGGTCGTACCGAATAGTATGTGTCTTAATTAACATTGTAAAAGTGTAATTGCTTTATTTAGCGCATTTTTCTTCACCAGTGAGCGACGTTTAACTTCGCTCCATTTCAGTCCCAAACGTGTGTTCCGCAGCAGGTGTGTAAAAACAAGCGACGATTCAAAGCAAAATTACGATCGAAACGAATATAGAGTGTGTTCAAGGCTCGCAAGCATTACGGTGACGCTTGTATATTGATAATATGCCAGTCCTGTCACCATATGAAAATGATCCCGTCGTGCATGAGCGGATAAAAACCTTCAACGTAGAGAATAAAGTCCGTGGGATATGAAAGGTGTCTCTTCGTATTGTTTTCTCTGCCGGGCAGCTTTTATCGCGCACTTGTTCTCAAAGATGTCTAGCGCGCGGGGGATATTTTGAACGTAGAACACGCAGCTTCGCTCAGGATAAAGCGGTACTCACTTATTTAAAATCGGAATAGATTACGTGACCTTCAATTTATTTTGATCGTACATGCACTGCGAGTTACTGGTCCGGTGTTGCTTGCGTAGTTGTAGCCGTCGCTCTTGATTTTCCAGATGTCCTTCGTTCGTTTGGCACGTATATCCCCCATGCTGGAAATCGCCGACGCCGCGTTCGCGCTAACAGTGTCCGACAGTGCACATAAATACACGTACGAATCCGTTTTAGCACCGTTTTTAGTGCGATGAATTCGAGAGAAAAATGCCGTAACTGACCAATTCTTTCGTCTGCCTGACTGAGAAATGTTCCAAACTACCTAGTACGTACGAATTATTTGGGATATTTGCTCTTATGATCGAGCGCAGGGAGAAAATACACTCACTTTTTCCCATAGAAATGCATTACCGGAAGTCAATTTTTGACTGGTTGCTGTCTGCTTCAATTTGCGTCAGCACACTAGCGCCACTTGAACCTCTAGCGTACATTATAATAGAGAGTTTTAGTGGATCGTTCCCATGACTCCGATAACGATACCCGATACTCCACCACCACCTCCCTTGCGCATGCATAGTATCGTTATCGGGGCTATCGGAGGTATCGGAACGATCTACTAAAACTCTCTAGTAACTCTATGCTCCTAGAGCGCGGTCCATGTAGCGACGGTACAATGTGGCCGTCTGCTGCATCGCCGGCAGAGGCCGATTCCTTGGGGCCGTCCTGTAGGGGGTGGTCGCGGTCCACAGTCCAGGCTGTCCCATGACGCGCCGACGTCCTTGGTAGTCCGGTCCACCACGAGCCCGGCCACCGTATCGTTCCGATGGCGGAGTGTGGTGGCGGTGTTGTCCGCGAGCCATCTTCGCGGAAAAACAAAGAAGCAGACGACGGGGGGGCTTTGTTGGGGGTTGAGCCTGGTGTTATTTTCAAACCCCTTCAAGAAGGTTCGAAACAACGGATGGGAGCTGGGCACACAATTTTCTCCTTCCCTCTTTTGAAAAGGGAGCAGATCTGTGGAAGTAAAAAACTACCACCAAAATGAAAAAAAAAAAAAAAAAGCCGAGGAGACAAAAAGAAACGAGGTTCTCCTTTTTTTTTTTTGGTGTCACCGACGTCGTAGGTTATACCGCCGCCTTGGTGGATACGAGGGGTCGCCTCCACCAAGGCGTCATACGACAGTGTCGTTCCGGTCCTGCGAGGAATCTTCGTCTCCTGCTCGAAAAAAAGAATCGTTTAAGGACGGTGACATGAGCAGGTCCGTTTTTTTCTCCACAACACTCAGGTTTCATGTGAGTGTTGTGAGTTGTTTAAAATTCCCGCGCGAGGTCATGTGGATGTGACGTCATGACCCTATCGACCAATCCTTGATTCCAACGCTCCCCACCGATGCCAGATTTTCCGAGACACGAGAGCCAGTGACCAACGCGCCCGGAGCGCATCCACTATTGCCCCCCGATCTATCCTTATGGCCCTTATAATCAAACATTTATAAATTTGCTGACGATACAGCATTAGTACTGGGAAGTTAAAATTATGGTACACCAGTTAGGACTCTGCAGAACGACATCCATGAGGAAATAACTGGTTTCTAAAAGCTATATTTTTGTCAACAACAAAAAAAAAAAGAAATGCGCCGCTAATTATGCGCAGCTTATGAAACATCTTTTTTTTGTATAGAAGTCATGCACTCAGTGCAGCTGTTAACCACTTTCATATCCCGCGGAAAACGAAATACAGGTATATACTTCAACGAGCATCTGTCGTGTAATTCACACTTACATTATCTGATTAAGCATCTACGAATAATAGCATCCTACTTATACAGATTACGGGATTCCGTGAATTTTAGTCTAAGAGGAATGATTTATCAAGTGTTAGCAGAACTGAAACTTAGATATGGAATTACCATCTATACATCCGGTTCCTGTTGCAAAAAAGAAGGAATAAATAACTTGATAAAAAGGATGGTGTGAAACATCGTGTA